GTTTTTGGCAGGGAGCCCAAGTTACCTCAGGATCAGATAAGTTCTTCAACAGAAGAAACTATTGATGACTGGATAAGTGAGTTAAGGGAGATACAAGACACTGTCGGGAAAATAGCAAAAGAAACGGAAAACAAACAGAAAGAGATGGCAAGGAAGCAAAGGGACATAAAGGCGAAGGATATTGACTGGACAGTAGGTCAGGAAGTTTTATTGAGAATTAGTGTAAAAATAGGTAGATGTAAAATTCAGGATCAGTGGCATGCTAAACGATGGGTAATAACGGAGATTTTGGAACCTAAAACGGGGCTGTATATAATAAGATCTTGCGATGAGGATGACAACGAGGAGCGAATTGAGAACAGATGCAACCTGAGAGCGGCACCAGAATTACAACCTTTTGGAGTACCGGCAGTAGATGACCCAAAACAGAACACTCCCCACGGCGATTGCGTAATCATGTAGTAGAAGTAAATAAAGAGAATAAAGGTAGTAGGTTAAGGGAAAGGCGAAAGCAGGGCTCTATCCTGAACGAGGATTGGCATCCTCTCCCTTACTTGAGCTGATTCTTTCTTTTCTCTTGTCCTATACTCTAGCTTCATTTCTATTGGTATTAGTGTGGGACGGTGTTTAAGGTCAGGTAAAGGGATATTTATTGACAGATTTAGAGAAATTCACATGGAGTGTTAAAACAACGAAAGAAAGGTGAAAAGAATGAAAGTAGAATTGTTAGAATAATGAAAGAAGAGTGAACGAGCGAAAGTAGAGGCGAAAGCAGGGTTCTATCCTGAACGAGGATTGGCGTCCTCTGCCTTACTTGAGCTAAGTCTTTCTTTTCTCTTCTCCTATACTTCTAGCTTCATTTCTATTAATATTAGTGTGGGACGGTGTTTAAGGTCAGGTAAAGGGATATTTATTGACGAATTTAGAGAAATTCACATGGAGTGTTAAAACAACGAAAGAAAGGTGAAAAGAATGAAAGTAGAATTGTTAGAATAATGAAAGAAGGGTGTAAGGACGAAAGTAGAGGGATGAGAAAACATGACGGAGCAAGAAT